AAAAAAAAAAAAAAAAAAGAGAAGAAAATTAATAGTTTAAAATTTCCTTGTCTGACATGCAGAGGGTGGAATGATTCATGTTATTCAAGCAATCTGGGGGGAGAGAGGGTAAGGAAGGGGATTAAGTGCTGGGTGAAGTTGAGAGTGATTTTAAATTCCAGCATCCCCCTTCAAAGCCGGGGTTGGATCCCACACGCCCCGAGTGCCTTCCAGTCTGCGCCTGTGGGGATGAACGCACTGATACCTCCCCGGCCACAAACCCACACACCAAACTCGTCATTAAATCTCGTTACTGCAGCCTCAGGAAGGCTCCTGGTGTCTCTCTCAGAGCCCTGACTCCTCATCACGTCTGGTGGCCGAGTGAGAACGAGCAGAGGTCGTGGTTGGAGATCTGAGAGCCGGGCATGAACGCACGCAGAGTGACTCCTTCCCTTTCCTCTGGCACATTCCAGCTCCTCTACTCTCTCCCCCCATGTTTTTAAACCATTTCTCTCTTGGTTTACGTTCCTGTGAAGGAAACAAAACAAACCAGAGCGAGTCAGTCCTGCCTGGGTTTGGGTTTGCTGCCTTTCTGCGAGATGCTCTCACCAGGGCTTTGCTGGCAGCAGAGCCAAACCCAGAGGACAATTAAACTCCAGGTTCCCTTTTAAATCAAACATTCCCATCCAGGTCGTGGGTTCTGCTCCAAACCAGGCAGAGAACCCACCAAAAGGTCAGTAAAAAGAGTTCAAGGTTGTGGCACAACTCCTTGTTAAATCCCCGTCCCGGACTTCAGGAATGGTGACCCGACGAATTCCTGCTTCGGGGTTGGAGCATCCCAATTTTCCACTCAGGGCTGCAGATGGGGGAAAGGGATGTTTGTTGTTACTGAGGACAGATTTTATTGTGTTTTCTGTGGTTTTTTTCCTGGATTCCCAACAGCCAGCAAGGAGCAAAGAGGGCTGGAGGAGCTCATTGCTTTGCTAATGTGTGGTTTGCAACAGGAGCTGCGGAAAGGTTTCTTGAAGGAAAACCAAACTGGCTTCGGGAAGGAGCCAAACCCAAGTGTTTGGGAGGGATCCGGGGCAGAGGATGAAGAGTGGGGAGGGGGAGAGGTGAAGGAGGGTAATCAGAGCTGTGTGTGGTACTTCCACAGAGAAAAAAAAAAAAAAGTAAAAAGCCTGGAGGAATGGATTTGGGATTCCTCCCTTTGGAAACAGATGGGAAAAGAAAAGAAAAATAAAATTAAAAAAAAAAAAAAAAGGGGAGCAGAAACCTGCATTTAAAAGAGGTTAGAAATGTTTAAAGAGCAAATAGACCCCAAAAAACCCCAAACCATGTCCTTGAGGGTTTGTCTCCCATCAGCATTCCCGTTCCAGGAGAGCAGCCTGGGTAAGGCTACGTGACCAATGAATGTGCCCTGACCCCAAAGGCACCACAAGAATAATAGATCTTATATTGCACTTTTCCTTTGGTGGAGCTCAGAACACTTTATGGGAAAAGTTGTGTTTTCCACCAAAAAAAAAAAAAAAGTTCTCCAACAGGAACTGGGACTGGGAAAACAAAACAAATCAAACCCCGACTTTTAGAAAATATCCATCTAAAATATAAAATCAGGAGGGAAAAACCATTTAGTGGGAGGGGGAAGTTTTGCCTAAACCCAAAACATTTCATTACTGAGAAAGAAAAAAAAAAAATAAATAAAAAAGCCAAGGCATGGGGAGGTTAAAGTGCCTTGCCCAGAACACGCTGGGGGCACTTGCACCTACAACTCCCAAGCCACAGACCAGTCTGTCTTCAGCTAAACTGTGATGTCAACAGGCATTTCAGGCAAACATCAAAAAAAAAAGAAATGAGTTCAGTGAAGTCACTGGGTTGTAAAGCAGCCTCTTGAGGGGATCTCCGTGCCCACACACAGGCTGTTGGTCCCTGGTGGAGAGCAGCAAAGCAAAGAGGGTCCCAGAGAGAGCATCTCACCCCAACCCACCCGAGCGCCTCCAGCGCTCCCTGCGCTGCCTGCGGGGATAACATCGCAGTACGGACACAAGGCCAAGCTGAACACACACTGGCCCTTCCCAAGGCTCCAAAACTCCCCAGTGCTCCACTCAGGGAGCGAATTCCCCCCAGTGGCACCGAGTTCCAGGCCACCCTCCCCAAAGACGCCGAGATGTCCGTGTTAATCCCGCACGGGGGTTTTGCGGAGCGCGCGGATCGTGTCGCGTACGGGGCCTCCCGAGATGTCATCTGCCACTTCAGAGGGACGAGGAGAGCCAAGAATAGCAGAAAGGCAGAGCAGTGCATACCCCTGGGTGCTGCACAGCTGGGCTGGAGTCCGGCAGACATGTAATTTTCACACCATTTCTCACCAGCGTACACTCAGACAGCTCCACTTTCCCAGCCCTGCGGTCTGAGCGCACACATCTCCAGTTTTCACTTTGTCCCCTCGTTCAGGAGGGTTGGCAGTGCCTGGAGGCAAAATGTATTCAGTCTGCTGAGCTCCTTGCTCTGTTTTCTGTTGGCTTCTAGAATTAGATCCTCTGTTTAATAACTGTTTCATTAAGCAGAGAGCGGTGACAAATAACCAACCGACCAAACCTACCTGGGCGGGTTGATGAATGTTTCTTGGTGGCTTTACTGCACAACAGCTGAGAGTGAGGCAGGACACTGAGATCTGGCGATGAGAAAAATCACATCACAGCGAAGCAGAAAATGTGCTGCTTTACCTCCTTCCCACCTCCTCCTGTTGGGGGAGAGGAAATCCTTGCTGCCTTCAGCCCTGCTTCACCCATCTCTTGGAACAAACACCCACAGTCCTTCAGATATCAGAGGTACTCAGGTTCTACCATTCCTGTGATCATAATAAAAAAATAAATAAAAAAAAATAAAAAAAATATAAAGAATTAATGATTTGGAAGGTAAATTTGCAAAATGGTTGTTGTCAGTCATCAGTCACCATGTGAGCAGTGACGGATGGAACTGGCTCTTCTCTCAGCTGGAGCTGCTCACACACCGTCAATGCCCTCCCCAGAAACGAAGCAAATCTGTTCCAGATGGCGAGATTTGAAAGAATTTTACACCTAAACCCGGCATGGGGTGTAACCAATCTAATCTTTCATCAGATGTGACAGTGGAGGATACAGAAAAGCACCTTGTAAGGTGGATTTCTCGTCCTGACTTTGCGGGAGTTGGAACAGAAGAGTTGGATCTGCAAGAAGAGCTTGACACAAAGCCAAGGCTTCGTCTCCACAGGAGGATATTTTTGTGTTGGGTTGAGGCGGGGCTGCACAGACACATCACCAGTGTGTGGTCCTGACAGCAGGTCCAACCTCCAAGGTTTTCCAACCAAACTGGGCTTAGATATTTAGATTTGACAGGTTTTCTTGGGATCCAAGTGAATTAGGTGGTGAGGAATCAGTGCACTCCCTCCCTACAACTCTTATGGACCTCTGGTGCTTGAAATCCAGCCTGACAACAAAAGGGTTAACACAATACCTGAGGAACGCTTCCAAAATGCAAATAGATTTAAAGTTGATTTTAAAGTGATTTACTGGCACTTGCAGACTCAGAGAAACGTCATCCTTTACCAGTCCCAGTGACCAATAACTCATTGCACTCAAACCCTCTCAGCTTCAAGAGTTCCATAGATCAGCAAGACACTTCCCAAAAGGGCTCTCCTGCCAGCTTGAAGATGCCCAGGGATTTCTGTGCAAGAGCCAACAGATTTTGGGTCAAGATCCAAACCAAATGGAACTCACTCTTCAGGATCCTGTGTCTATCCCTAAACCCAGAACACACAGGGGTAGATGGGAAGAAAAATGCCTGGGAAGAGAGGGAGGGTCTCAGTGACTGGAATAGAAAAGAAAATTGCACTAATTTAAATTAGGAGCAGACTTGCTCAGAAACACCAAACTCCATCTACCCACATATGGACTTTTCTCTAAGTCTTTCAAAAAAAAATAAAAAAAAAAATTAATCCCAGTTTGGCTTGGATTGAACTGAGTTGAGCATGAATACCAAAACCAGTCACTAATTAATAGTGTCTGGTTTTCTGGTATTTGTGCCCCATAAAAATTAATAAGGGACTTCTCTGGGAAAAAAATAAATGGTTAGCTGGAAAGCCAGCCTTGGCCTTTGTTGTTTTCCTGTTACTCATCACTCCTCAGTGAGATTCCTTGAAACTTCGAGCTGGGAACTTCCCAGGAACTTCTAGTAATTTCCCAGAGCCAAGATTTCCAGGGAGGAATTGCTGCCATCTCCCTAAATATCGGTGTCCAGAGACTGGGTGCAAAATGCAACTGCTGGGGCTGATTTCCAGAGCTGATTTCCAGCTCTCCAAGCTCTCGGGAAGAACACCCACGACATTTTCAGGAGCTGGATGGGGTTTCAGATGCATCTTTCCCTCTGATTTTCTGCACATCCAGATTGAGGCCCCAAAGCCTGTATTTTTAACAGGGGCACGATCGCCTGTAGTGGTTTTAGGGAGGGCAGCAGGTCTTGTCTTTTCTGCAGAAGAAGCTCCAAAACTAGGGAATAACACAGGTGGGAGCGGAACACGGAGCAGAGTCTTGCACTCCAGCCAGTTCTCCTCTTCCAGTCTAGCCTGGAACCACATGGAGATACCACTTTGGTTCTTTAAACAACAAAGTTTGCATTAAATGTTGCATTTGGGCTGAAAAATCCTGCTTTCCAGGAGGTTTAGCTGGTGCAGAGCCCTGGAAGCATGAGGAGAAAGCTCCTCAAACAGGAGATTTAGATCCCAAACCAAGACCAAAGCCTGGGCTATCTGATATTGCCCAACTTGCTGGTGGAGTTTCCATAACCCTCATGAGCATCTCAGTCCCTCAAGAGGTAAATCCCATCCACCATCACCATTCCCAGCTGGGGAAGAGACACGGAGCAGCCTGGACGGGCTGGAAAAGGGGAGAGGGAGCTCAGAGCTTTCTGCTGAGCAGACCTTGGGATGGATCAGGAGAACTCAGGAGCCCATGAGGAAGACCAGCCCTGATTCCACATCCTTGCACGGCAGCTGAGAGACTCAGGTGGAAGGACCTGTGTCAAATCATCAGCTGGAGTAAATTGTGATGGTTTTTGACCTCGACAGAGCCCTCCTGCTTGATATCACCCCCTCCTCTTTGATTTTTGTGGTGATTTTTTTTCTCCCCTTCTCCTTACAATTCACCTGGAACCCCTGACTCCAGCTTTTTTTTTTTTTCTCCCCTTAATGAATCCACTCCTTGCAGCAGCAGCAGCAGCAGCACAGCCCTGGAGAAGGAATCCTGCTCGGGCATCTCGAAGTCTCCTTTGAGGCCTGTGGAGATCTGCGGGTGCTTGGCTGGGGATGAAAGGAGGAACTGACAATGCTGGTTTATTCCTGAGATTTTTTTTTTTTTTTGCTGCAGTATTTCAGTGATGTCAGAGCCAAACCTTAGGGAAAAAAAAAAAAAAAGAGAAGAAAAAAAAAAATGTATATGTGCGGAGTACACGGGGTTGGGTCCGGTGGATGGATTAAAAGAACATGATTATTTTGATTACCTTGATTTAAAGCACCAGCGGAGCTGAATCATGTTCAGCCAAAGAAATATCAGGCAGGCAAAATTTACTTCTCTATTTGCAGCAAAGCAGAAGAAGAGGAGGAGGGAGGAAGGCAGGCAGGGAGGGAGGGAAGAAAAATGACTCTGAATCAAATGAGGAAAATACACACCAGCTCAACATTTTCTTCTTGCAACGATTTTCTTCCTTAAGAGGGCGACCACAAAAGGCAGAGATGTTTAATCCATTAAAAGTGGAGTTTTCTGGACAGAATAATCCGAGTTTTGTCAAGCCACCAGCCTGCTTCTCACTGGGTGGGCTCTGGCTGGAAAGGGAAGAGGCTTGCAGTGGATTCCCTCTCACACACAAACACCGAGGCCCTGGCTGGAAGAAAACACGGGAAGATGAGGCAAAGGTTTATCTGCCACGGCATCAACCCATCACCCTCCCTCCAGCACCTGTCCTGGGTGGGGCTGCACCTTCTCCTGCACATGGGATGCTCAAATTCGAATTTCAGGACAACCTTGGTCACTCTTGGTCAGTTCTTTGGCTGTTCTGCCAAGGGCCTCCCTCTCTCTGCTGTTTTGTGACAAGGGAGCCCAGTTTTGTAAGCCCTGATGTAAGAAAAATAAAGGAAAGCTCTTAAAAAATAGGTATTTATGGCACTTGGGGGAAAAAAAAATATATATATGTGGTTTCTTACTCATATTATTTATACTTTGCTTTCATTTGCACACAGGCTCACACAAACAGGCAGGGCAGGTCCTGCTCAGGGAATCACAGGATTCTTTAGGGTGGAAAAGATCTTTGAGACCATCAGGTTCAGCTTCAACTTGTTTGCACTGGATCTTTACACAAGAGAAGACATTTTGCCCCTCCCTCCTCTCTCAGGAAAAACCAGGAAATACACTTTTTATCTCTTTAGTTAGAGGTGATTTCCACGTGAAAAGTTATTTTGTTCTCATGGAAACGATCATTCGTGTTGAACCAAATGGCAAAAGGGACCCTGATGTCCAACAAACCCCAAATACAGATGGGTGAGGAGATGGGGGCAACTCTAGGAATGTCACAGCTACAGGAGCTGGACTTGGGTGATCCATGGGGGTCCCTTCCCATTCGGGATGTTCTGTGACTCCATAGGTGCCAGGAGGTCTCCATATGGAATCCAGTCCTGATATTCCCCATAATCTCTGCTGGGATCAGACAAACAGCAAAGCCCCTTCACTGTTACCTCCCATTCTGGCAAGGGATAAAGGGGGAAAGTAGAAAGGACTGACTGACAGAGGTTGAAGGTTGGGATTCCCTGGGAGGGAACTCAAGGAAAATCCCTCCCTGAAGCTCACCCTCACCCCAGGAATTTGGTCCTTCCTCACCAAAGTCATCCTAACCCTCTGCCATGCATTTTTAGCTGTCTTTGGGCATGGAAAGGACCAGGATCATCCCAACCTGGAATGAACAGAGAAGAAAAACCAGTTCCTCCTGTTTTCAATGGTTTGAGGTTCAACATTTCCCCTCAACTTTGATACAACGATGCTCTGAATGAGTGGGCACCTTAATGGGCTTAGCAAGACATTCCTGATGGATAAAATCCATGGAGGTTTAGGATTGCCAGGTACAGGCACAAACCTTGTGAGGTGATCCCAAAACCACACCTTGAATATGGGGCTTTTTGGGGATGGAGCATATCCCAAAAATCACACTTGAACATGGAGCTTTTTGGGGATGAGCATATCCCAAAAATCACACTTGAACATGGAGCTTTTTGGGGATGGAGCATATCCCAAAAATCACATCTGAACATGGGGCTTTTTGGAGATCTTGCAATGTCCATCTGGTCCCATGGAGAAGAGGTCTTCTTCTCTGAGGAACTTGCCCAAAAAGGCTCCAACTGCCCCCAGAGCTTCACACCTCCCCCAGGCACAAACCCACACCCCCCTGAGCCCCTGAGGACACGGAGTTAATCACTCATTTCCCAGAAACCTCAGCCAATTTGCCTCAGGCTAATGAAGAGAATAATGGATCATGGGGGGGGTGGGGGAGGGTGTGAACTCATAATTAGGGTCACAAAATGCACCTCCAGGCTTCTGTTTTTGTTTCAGACATCAGCCCCACCAGAGTAGGAGTGTTTTGTGTTTCTACAAT